AAAAAAAAAAAAAAATATATATATATATATATATATATATATATATATTATGAAGAAAGGTATATCTTTGAAAACTATACATGCTCTAATAAACATATAACACATGATACTTACATTTTCTGAAGGTGCTGATGGCTTTTCTTCATTTACAAGCATCTATGGGATATTAAGAGAATGCATTTATAAGATACATAAAATGGATTGCACTCATTTTTAAAGTATCCTGTTGTGACAAAACATCACTTAATATGTGAATATCATATCTGGTGCAATAACAAAACACACCTGTGGAGGCGCCAGAGTTCTTAATTCTTTGTCACTGTTGTCCTGTGAAAACAAAAAGACTTTAGACTGAGCAAAACTCTTCCACACTTCTATATATCATTACCATAACAAAAGCTGATGCAATAATCATATTATCATATATAATAATTATCTACTTTATGATCAGTTAAGAATCTGAAGGCGTTCAGATGTTTTTTGTGACTCTTGTGTGGCTCTTCGCTAATTGGCAACTATGAGCCACATGTGCAGATGTACAGGGACAGATGCTTGTGTTTAGCAAGTAGAGGATCATAGTGTGGTGATACTGGCCAGCACATCTCCTCCCAGGAGTGCGTTCACTGCGCACGGTGTTGCCATGGAAACTCTAGTGCAAACCCCCCACCCACCCATCCACCTTAGTATAACAGGAAAGAGAAGGTGGTGAGATCTCCACATATTAAGTGAAAACCTTGGATAGACAGTTTTAAAATGCACACTTTGTGTCCGAGATCCTGACCGAGATACAGTAATTCACACACATTAAAGATGACATCACTGCACTTCAAACCTACAAGAAATTCTGTTGATCACATCCACCTATTTCTACTGTATTGTGAGGGGTGGCCCTGCCCACTCTGAAATCTCATTGGTTTGAAATCCTGGTTTTCATAACGGTGCATTAGATATCAAGTCAAATACGTTTTCAGCACCTCACACTGCTTCAAATTGCTTTTCACTGGTTGGAAAGTTGTCGCATTGTTCCTGTTAAGACACGGTGTTACCGCATAATTTGGGCTGTCTGTCAGTTCAAAATCGCATGGATGCCAACTGGCCACACACAGACAGACATATTGATTACATGAGCAGAGCAATATAGCCATAAAGAGCTGCGCAATGAAAGAGTTGTTGTGCCTGAGAAATGGAGAGGTGGGTGGGTGTGTGGGAGGGCTTTTTTTTTGAAAGGATGAAAAGGAATAATGGAGGAGAAGGGAATGAAAAAAGGAGGAAAGGAGGGTGCAAAAAGAGGGAGAGATGGAGGTTGTGATTTATTTGGCTGTTGAACGATGACTCCCTGTGGAGAAAGTCCGTCTTCACTGCCCCTCGGCTGTGTCCGAGATTAATGGCGGCGACAGGAAGGTCACCTACACACTCGCACACACAGCTGCATGAATACACAGCAGCAACCAATTTAAGAGTTAAGCAAATGTGGAAGTAAACAAACACATGCACGTGAGCAACACACCTTAAAGTTCAGCTGAACTCCTGAGTGTGCTTTGGGAGGAAGGTTTTCTTGCCCTGATCGTACAGGTTCCGTTGTTGTTCGGTTTATCAAGTTGCTCTTTAAAGTGCTGGGCTGGTTGCTGAAATACATGACAAGACATGTGAAAACACAACAAACAAATCTACGCCCTTCACAGTCAAACACGTTTTCATCATGACACAGAATTTCTTTCAGATTTACATATGTGCTCATTTACTAGCCCTTTTTTCTTATTTGTTTATACACAGCTCGCAGAGGAGAAATAAAATATGAAAACATAAAAATGGTTAAACTACATTTATTTACACTACCATTAAAACAATTTCTTCATGAGGGATGCATTAAATTGATCAAAAGTGACAAAGTTACAAAACACTTCAACTTCAAATTAACACTGTTTTTTTTTACTTTCTATTCAAAGTATCCTGAAAAAAGGTAACACTGTTTCCACAAATAAATAAATAAAATGATATGCAATGCTTCCCATATCAGCATATTAGAATTATTTTTGAAGGATCATGTGACAATGAAGACTGAAAATTCAGGTTTGCTATCACAGAACATTACATTTTAAAATATATTAAAGTGCCCCTATTATGGATTTTTGAAAATTACCGTTCATGCAGTGTGTAACACAGCTCTAAGTGAATGAAAACATCCTGCAAAGTTTTAAATCTGAAAGTGCACCGTGTATAAAGTTATTGTCTTTCAAAAGAAAGAGTTGACTCTGAATTATTGAAAGGAGTCGTTTTTAAAACGAATCCCAAGCTTTCCCAAATCAAAAGAATCCCAAATATTATTGCCCGCCCACTTGTTGGTCTTTCGAGTTGGTCTGAATGAAAATGCAAATTCATTCTTTGGCACTAGGTGCCGCTTTTGGAGCGGTAAAATAGCAGTTTCCCCGGTAACGCTGTACACAAAGCAGCACTGCGCTCACAAACGCTGCTTTATTAGGCATGATGAAACGAAAATGAGACCAATCGGACCAATCATCGCAGATTAGCGTCACGCAAAGGAGGGGTTTGGAAAAATGAATCGTTGAGCGAATCGTTTGGGAGTCGTTGAGCAAGTAAGGTAAAAATAAATGCATATTATAAGACAATGAAAGTGTTTTTTGACCTTGCATGCATGTCAACCTGTTGTTGGGGACTCCCAAAACCAAAATATTAACCTTTCATAACCCATAATAGGGGCACTTTAAAATATATGAGTTTTATCTATTTTACTGATTACTGTTACTGTACTTTTTATAAATTTAGCTTTGGTGAGCATAAAAAGACATAAAATACCTTATAGACCCCTAACTTCTGAACAGTAGTATAAATAATATTTATATACATACCCCTTTTAAAAATCAAAACACAATTTTAATGATATTTTTCAGATACTATCAACCAAACAAACTGGGGTCTAAAACTCATATTATAGGTGGTTTATGTCATTAAATATAACTTGTTCTTATTCAGGTGTAGCACAACATCTTTATATCCTGATGCCTTTGTTGGTGTTTAAAGTTGTTTAAAGTTTTGTCCATACTGTGAATTGTTGAGGACGCTGACAGTTTTTCTCTCTCCAAACCCTGAATAGATGATCTTGGAGGATTTGAGCTCATCCATCTCTCCAATGACAATGACCTGCACGTCTCCATCTCGTCCCAGCAGCCAACTGACACTCTTGCTATTAGCTACAAAGGGAGAGGAGGAGAGAAAAAAAACACAGTCTTAGTGGTTTGTACCATTAAGCCTAATTGAAACACAACAAGCCTAGTTTAGTAATTATAATTTACATATTTAAACATATTCTTATACTTCACAATTATTTATGCATTATGTTTCCTGTTCTTATGAATGTTCTCAACCATAACATGATTCAATATGTTAAAAGGGAAAAAAATGGAAAAACAGTTTAAGGCTGCTTATTGGATCAGTAAAGCTAAACATTATTTTATCACTACATATTCCTTTATGAGAAGCTTATTAACTACTTGTCAAGTCTTAAGAACAAATGGCGCAACCAAATTAAATACAGAGAAAGACAACATGAGATACAAATTACAATGTGAAAAATGAAGGTGACTTGTACTGTATGAGAGAGAGAGAGAGAAAGAGAGAGAGAGAGAGAGAGAGAGAGAAACATTTGACAGCAAATAAGGAAAACCTTCCCATGATGAACTGGTTTTTCTTGCAGGCAAAATAATAAGATTCCAGTTGAACAGCCTGACTGACACACTCGTGATCCCAGTCAAGAGAAAACGCTCATGTCAAACCAAACAGGCTGAACTGCCATAATAGCTAAAACGACCATGTGAAATTACGTGGAAGTGAGCAGAAACCAAAGTAGAAACAGAAACAAACAACATTAAATGAGGCTAATTCACTGAATGCTTAAAAGGTATAAAATATTAAAAAGATATTATTTTTGATTTATTCTCTTGTAAGTTTTATGAATATATTTTCCCTTATTTTTAGGAAGCAGTCAGTGTTGTAGTACTCGAGTCCAGACATGACCAGACTCAGGTCCATCTCAAGTCCAAATCGGGACTTTTTGGGACTCAGCCAGGACTCGCTGTAGTTAAGACCAGCTCATTCGAGTCATAGAAAATATGGTCTTCGACTCTGACTTCATTCTTTCCGCCATATTAGGCCTTAAAGAGGTGATGCCAACAAAACAGCATCTTACAAGTTAATGTTGAAAGCAGTATTGCTGCTGAATATTTTTGTGGATTAAGTTCAGAATGAATGAAAACAGCATTTATTTGAAATAGGAATCCTTTGTTACAACATACATGTTTTTACTGTCACTTTTGTTTAAATGAATTCTTGCTAAATAAAAGCATGCAAATATGCAATGCAATATGTAAGACATGTTACAAAACCAATGGCAAAAAGCAAAACAAAACCACAAAAAACACAAGACAAAAAACATCCACATCATCTGTTCACAACTGTCGATAATTAAATCTACAATCCCAATGTTCTTCCTTTTACTTCCTCTTTCTTCTTCCTCAGTGTGTTTTGAGTGCCCGTGTTTCCTGTATACTTCCTGCTTTGTTGGCAGTCATCTATGTGAGGGAATGGAACTTGGCCTGGCTGACATTTCCTTTCTTGCTCTAAAAACTGGGTCAGTAACAGAAGTGTTTCCTCTGCCTTGTGTAGCCTGCTCACACAATGCAAGGGTCAGGATGTCTCCAGAGACTCTCTTTATTGTGTTATTTATTTTATTAAAGTTTTGCACTATTGTGTGACAGAACCTTGAATGACTGACATTTTATCCACTTTGCTAACAGACACCATGGTCCATTGGACAGGGTTGCACAGAGGTAGTCAAGATGTTGTATCGGTATGTCTTGGGGAAACCACTGACCTGCAAGAACAGCTGCCATTGTCTCAAGGAGATAAGAGGACTCTCTGTTCTCCTCTGAGGTCTGAAACGCAGGGATCTGATAAGAACTGCTTTGTTACTAAGCAAAGACAACTTCCTCCTGGATTTACGCATGTCAACCTTATTTAATGTCGTGAACTTCCTTATGAACCCAAGAGAATGGCTATACAGTGGCCACAAAAAGTTTCTGGACACTTCAAACTTTCATTGCATTGTAATATTTTTACCTCATTGACTAATCTAGTTGAGGATGATCTGTCAAAGTTCTGGCTCTTCCAGTAACAAAGCCGATTTGCCAGATTCCATAAGCCCTCTGTACGTCTAACCAGTTTAAACGGGTTTAACTTTAGCTAAGCAACGTAAAGTTTCATTTTTCATTTGTTTGCTTTTTCACAGCTCTGTCTCTTTTGCCATTTTACAGATACTCTCTATCTCTCAGATGCATTCCTCTCACATCTCAGCTGTTTACTCCTCCCTCTTACCAGCTTTTAGACAGCTGTCCTCCTCACGGAAATCTCGTATCTGTGACGTCTGCGACCTTCAGTGTTAAAAAGCGGTGAAATTAAGGGAAAAACCCCATGATATACATAGTTATTGACTGGATGTTTACAGTGTTTCAGTGTCACACTGAGGAGATCTTTTAACCAATATCAGATTCTGCTAATATTGGCCATGACATTTGTCCAATGACATCTGGACGTCTCCTGCTTAGTCAGAAGACTGTAAATTTGGTCTTGTGTCTTGTCCGTGACGTAGATGTTCCCAGTGGTCGCATCAATCACAGTAACTCTCATCTCATCGAATATAAATACTCTTGTGTTTCAAAGTGCTTTCTGTTGTCCAAACATCTTTCCACATCTGTGAGCCTATTCTGACATCACAAGATGTTTTTCCATGAACTCCATGAAGGCAGTACCACAGTAGTGAACCGGGTGCTATCAGCTAAGCTATTCTGTCCTGGCTGAGTCATGTGCCATATTAAGATGCAGACCATATTAAGTCATTTAAAGCCAGCAATAAAAAGGAAGAGCAGTTTTCTGTGGCTTACAGATGTGGGAATGGTAAACGCACTGATTAAAGATTTGCATTAGCAATTCAAAGGTCCCACATTCAAACCTCAAGATGTTGTAGATCTTTAATCTAGACAGATCCTGATGACCATGGCGCAAAAGAACTTTAACTTCAAGATGACTGTCCTTCTAAAAAGACAACTGCATGTCTTTTGCAGAAGTGCCATACCCAGTCAAAAAGGATCATGTCTAAATATATGATTTGCTTAAATTTTATTTTGTAAATTTATAAGCCGTTTTAATGATCTACCCACCCTCATGTCAAACTAAAAATATTGTAAGGAATAAGGAAATATTGTAGCACTGTTTAAAGTTTGTTTAAACTAAATACATAAAATTGTAAATGTAATCTACTGCATTAAAAGTTCTCGGAGAACTCACTTCAATGAAATATATTGAATAATATATAAACCCAGTGCCCACCTGTCTTTGGTTTGGGCTTGAGTGGTTCCCTCTCCAGCTTCTCCTCACGCTCCTTCCAGCGTCGCACCTGCTCCTCGCGCATCTTCAGGAAGAGCGTCTTCTTCTGCTCGTCGTTCAGAGCGTCCAGCACATCCGGGTCGATGTACATGTCGTTCAAGATCTGCTGCAGCATGGCCGTGTGTGTGGTTCACCTGATTTTATCCTGAGATTCAGCAACAGTCCTTCAGTACAAGGATGACGGTGGTAAAGATGATGAAGCCCAGCTCGGTCCGTTCACCACACACAAGCTCTCATCACTAATTAGCAGCCATAAACTGGACACGCTATCAGAAGAAATGACAGATTAGAACATCTGGAAGCAATCTGATCTCTTTAATAGTTTGTTTGCTCTTTCTCTTCCTGTGCAGCTTTCGATATTTTGTGTCTTATGTTAAATAGAAAGTCAAAAAAGCCTTGATCTTTCTTTTTTCCCCTTCTTTTCTTTCATTCATTCATAGATTTAATAAAACATTTATTTTTATTTAGGGATGTAAAAGTTAACTTCAAATATATTAATAATGCAATCATTTTAAATGTGTGTTTTATCAAATGTTATATTATTTATTTTCTGATTTTTAAAGACTAGTTGGAAATTAAGAGGTTAATTGTGATTATTTTACTATTTTATAATTTTTATTTTATAAATGTATTATTTGGTCATAGCTTTTAAAAACCAGAACAATATGGTTATTAATAGAAATAGAGAACTAAAAAAGAAAAGAAAAATGTAAGCAGTTTTCAAATAATAAAGAAAGTTTTTAATATTTACATAATGATCAGCTTTAGTATAATGACACTGTAAAGGTTAAGAACCCTCTGCTAAAGAGCATATTTTACTCAAACACATGGTCTCCAGGCTCTTTTTAGGCCTGACTGTGGGGATTCCTCAGGAACAGGGGTTCGCTTCTGTCGTCAGCAGACCCCCCTCCATTCACAACTCTTCTGCTCTATTTTAAAATTGTCTTATTTTGGCCACAACTGAACTGGCATGCTGTGACCTCTTTAAGAGAGATGGCGGCTGTCTACAACTAAAAAAGTCTGAGATCATATCATACACAAACCAGTACCGCAACAACAGCAACTGTGACTGAGACAAAACAGTGGATGTCTGCCTGCCTGCCTACACATATTACAGACTGCAGTTAATGTCTAGAAATGAAGACAGATACGGTGGCAAACAGAAAGTTGGAAAGAGAAGAAAAAAAAGCCTGTGTGAAGTAAAATGTACTCACAGCTGGGTGCAGACGCTCCACGGTAGACTTTACTAGGAGTGAGAGTGAGTGCTTGTGTGTGCCTTTGTGTATGACTTAGCTGGTGATATCACAGCATTCCATAGTCTCTCTCTCTCTCTTTTCTTTTGCTCTCTCTAACAAACGTACATGACACAATGTCCCTTGCCTTCACACAAACACACACTTCCTTTCTGTTCCTGTAACTCTCTCAGGCTGGAAGGAAACTCAGGAAGCAGACCTCAGCTGTTGGCACCGCAAACGAAGTAGCAGCATCCTGTTTAACAGAGACAGAGGCGGGAGAGAGTTTGGGAGAGAGGAGGAGGGGCGGCTGAAGGAGAAGAAGAAAAAAATGACACCGCACTAACTTCATCGCTTGAACAAAGGAATTTACAGGAAAACACGTAAGAGGATGAGTCGATCTTGACATTACTCGATGCCATTTCAAAAATAAAACACAACTGTACAGTATTTGGCAAGTGATAAGGCACTTCCTCTCTCACTGAAATTTTCCCAATGATTACTTTGTAGTGCAGAAAATCTCCCCTTGTAATTTCCTTATAAAACTTTTTTTTTTGCTGTAAATTAACATACAGGAAGGACACTGATTTACAAACTTAAAGACTTTGTTAAAAAAAAATTCATGTAAAAAAGACACTGTTAACGACATTGTGTTTTCAAACACGCAGCATGCTTTAGTGTAATCCCACACCAGGGGGCGCACGAGTGCAAGAAACTGTCTTTGTTATCACTCAGAAATAGTTTTACTGCTGTAATGAGTGCAGTGATACTCTAGGTTAATTAATAAATCAGTGAAATTTGTGACCGCACAAATTTCCAGTCATATTTGACACAAATCCAGCCACTCTGGAATCTAGCTTTCCTTGTTTTTAATCTTATTCTTCTCTCTCAGTTCCTATTGGATTGGACAGTTTTCATCTGCAAATGTATACTGAAATATATATTTTTTTATTCTTTCGGAGAAATCTGTATAGGGAAATGTAGGCTGCATTTACTTTGTTACGGTTTAAATACTGAAGTTTAACCAACAGCGCCATCTACTGGTTTTCGAGAACCGGTCTGTTATGAATGGACCTGATAACGTTGATTTAAAGGGATCGTTCATCAAAAGTGGATCATATTCAGATCCCAAAATGCCTTGCTGTGTAGCACCAAACTTGATACCCCCACACACACACAAACTCTAGTATAAACATGTGTGTTGGAGAATGCAAATTCTGTCACCAAACGGTTGCTGATTCCCATCAACTTCCATAGTATTGGGGGGGGGGGGGGGGGGTGGTTGGATACATAACTAATTGTAACGGTGTTCATTCGAATACTGTTTGGAGTGGATATGCCTTTGTGTTTGATTCCTTTGTGGAGGCTCTTTCATATGCTAGTCGGAGTTGTCCATGCTAAAGCAGATCAACATATTTCAACGCACTCAATGTTTTTCTGAGGAAAGAATAACTCATTTTTGCCACGGAATGGATCATCATGTCTCAGATAAGAACTAAAAGACTATTTCTTTGGTGTAAAATCAAGGACCAGGTTTTGATTTTGTTTATTAGTTCTTTATTATGTATAGAGTATAATTAGTTTTCACTTGAACCCATTTAGCATTGGGGGGAATAAAACAACAACAACAAAAAAAAGAAAGACTGTTTGCTGAAGTTCATGAATTGCTTTATTTGATCTTAGTGATGAACCCTCATTTGTGGCTAATCTAAAAATAAAAGAAAGAGAAGTTACACTGTCATTAGTCATTAGTGCTTGTTTTCCCGTATTCTTTGAAATGGTCCCAATCTTTAATAACATTTCAAAATTACCACACTTATGTATCAGCTTAGACATAAATGTTTTGGACTGTTAAATCTACGTTGCTCACAGCAAGGGTCAAGCAACAGAATAAAATCAAGCGTTTCATGTTGAATGGAAACAAAGTGATCTGAAACTTATGTGGAAACCATGTGTATAGTAAAGGACTGCTGTATTTTCATGAGCAAATTACTTGTATCACAAGAACAACTACATGAAAATTGAATTGCAAATAAAAACATACTGACTATGGGTCGTGTTATGCAAGTCTGGTTATTTCTTTACAGATATAATCAGTAAATAATATTACTTATCTAGTGCTTTTGATAATGTTTGGATAATGGCAAAAGTGATATGGCTATGCTTAAATATTATTATTCTAAATTGTACTTATTATTTTTACTATTAAAGGGGTCATGAACGAGAAATCAAATTTCCCTTGATCTTTTGACATATAACAGGTCAATTTAATATAAAAACATCATGTAAGTTTCAAAACATTCTCGTTAGTTTAAAAACAGCTTTTTATTGAAACCAAGCTCAGAAAACCACTCGTTTTGGAATGTGCCACTTTATGACTTAGTGTGGCTAAGCACCACCTCCGCAGGAGAAGATCAATGCCTGCTTACATCAGTGCCTCTTTAGCCCCGTTCACTGATACACACTTGTAGTAGGAGGAGAGGAAATACTAGAGAGATGCAAACACAGGATTAGGCCTACTCCATCAACAGAACCATACAGATGACATTACAAGACTACAAGTAGGGCTGGGCGATATGGCCAAAAAATGATCACAATACAATTTTTCATATCAGTCGATATTGATAATTATCCAGATAAATTTAAAATCTTTATTTCTTTCATATTTTTGCTTCTAAGTGTAAGTTGTAGAAACCAGACTGTTAACTGTGGTTTTAAACTACTCTTTACAGTCAGAACATGACACATCACATTTTTTAATTCTGTACACTTTTCCAGTCAATTGTCTCTTTGAAATGCACATTTGACAGTAGCTTGAGTTGACTGTAGTAGTAGCTTGAGTTAGGATGCAGATGTAAATTTATGTTAATTATCAAAAACAGTAACATCTGTAAAAATTGTAACAACCTCATTTTTATATGGTGAAATTTAATTATTCTGACTGTTTGAGTTAGTTAAAACCACAGTTAAAACCACACATATACCACCTCAATATACCATGGTAAAAATGCAACTATATGGTTTCTAGGTATTTGTATGAAAAACAGCAGTCTAAATACATTTAGTATAAATGCACAAACGCCATAGCTTAATCACACAAAATACTGTAATTATTACTATTTTAAATCACGGCGTCATTTGTGTTTTTCGCTGAAATCAAGCGCTTCACACTGGATCGCACAGCGCTGTTTGGTGTCGCGTGATCAAGGCTCATCAGCGAGTAAATTTTTTTGAACGAATCTTTAATGTGACTCGGGAAGAACGAGTCGTCTTGGGGAGTGATTCGTTCAGTCGCGCATGCGCAACATCATATAGGTTCTGTACTGGAATTAGTCAAGTAGTTTACCTATTTCGAGTCTTCGGTTTTTTCCGAGTCATTCGTTCATCACGTGACAGCCCCATAAGTTTAACCAATGCAGTCTGAGCCGGAAAGAGACTTAATAATAATAACCAACTCTTTGTTATAACATGTCCCATCACTAAAACGCATCTGCTCAAGCGAGTTCGCGCTGCGCTGTCGTTTGAACTCTGACCGAGCGGATAAATGCTCCGCGTGACGCGCTTCAAATGAGTCACGCTGTTTCGATCCGCTTTTGGGGCAAAATAAACTTTAAATCGAACATTTATCAAACTCTTGTTATCGTTTTATCGTGAAAAATTACATCGCTAAAATTATCGTTATCGTTTTATCGCCCAGCCCTAACTACAAGACAATGTGTAGTGTAAATTGTGAAAAATAGTCTTTGAATTGCCTTCCTTGTGATCCTAACATATCTAGAACGGACGCGAGCACTGTTGCGTCATGTTGTGAATCAATTTCTATTTCAGGTCAGAAGTGTGAATGCTTGTATGTCAGAAATAGAGCGGGACATCAGTTTATTGTCGGAGATTTGTTGTCAATCCATGTGGCATCCAGTGTAGGCATCCAATTTGTTGGCATCCAGTGTAGACAGAATCGCAGATTATAGTGGGTTCTGTTGTCTATCGCGTTGCACCGCTCGTGTCTAGGGTTGGGTATCGTTTTGTTTTTTTTCGATACTGGTGCCAAATCGATACCTTTAAAATGCTTCCGGTACCTGAACCGATACTTATTAAAAAAAATAAAAAATAAATAAAAATACCCCAAAAAATGATGGATTGGCCATTAGCACTATAAACACATGATGTCTGTTTCATTCATACTGGATGCCAGAGGGCGCCCTCGCACAGAAAGTCCACATATCCAGTCACACAAGTAGCTGAACTCATGACCTTCCAGGAAATCCCTTATATGGTCAAAGGCATGGCTATTATAGCTGTAACTGAGTAAACAGAACATATAAACATTTTGAATGGTAAAACAAAGACAATAAACACTCGACTGCAACAATATAGTTTATCTGTGTTATTCAAGTCATCTTTGGTATTTTCATAACAATTAAGTATATTTATAATCCATTGCTAATCGATGTATTCTTTTTAAAGTAGCCTATGGAACATATTTTCTGCCTCATTCTGTAACAAGAAGCCACATCAGATCACAAAAGGAAGAATTTGACTTGTGTTGTGGAGTAAAAAGGTTATAATGTTCTCTTTTGTTGGACAACAGGTTTAGAAATGTGAATACAAGGGAAGGTTAGCTTTAGGCATTTTAATTTAAGCATGTTTAGAGCTTAGTTAAGGGAAGGCTACCTGCTGCCATAAGAGCAAGTGTAATTACTGCATTCACGGCGTGTATTTCAAGCGCTCATCAGATGCTCTCATTTCCCGAGTTGTGCTTTTAAGTCGGAATGTGAAAACATGGACACTCGTTACTACAAAGATTTGTTGGATTTGTATTAGAGCTTTCCGACTTGAGTTCACGTGCATTTTCTCAGTCGGGAAATTATTTTTCATGTACGGTGCCGGTGATGACGCTTCTTACATCCGACAAATATTTCAATCGATCGCTCAGGCATAGCACCGAAATGAGGCACCGAAAATCGGAGTTCTGATTCGGTTCTAGTACATACCGGTTACATAGGTACCGGTGCCATATTGGTACCGGGTTTCGGTACCCAACCCTACTCACGTCCGGTGTAAACGTGGGGAAAATTAGCAAAGGGCTCCAGATCGCGTCAGTGAAACACTGTTTGGTTTACTTTACTTTGCTAAGGATTCATTTTTAAACAAGACAATATGATGCCGAGTATATACTGCGTATTTATACTTTTTTAACCCCAAATGACCCATGTTGTTTTCAGAGTATGTCACAGCAACTTCCATCTGCTATTTAAATAAGCAAAACTGTTAGCCAATCACAGTAGTGGGCGTTTTCTTGCTCATCTTGAATGCACCTGCAGAGAGGCCCAAAAACAGGATAGAAAATAGTCTATTACTTCTAAATTATGATGTTTTTGATGTAAAATTACACTAATATTATAAGTGAACCTCAGAGAACATTATAAAATAATAAAAAATGCAGTTCATGACCCCTTAAATATTCAGCCACCAGATGGCACACTTCTCAACAAGAGCAGATGAGCAAAACTAAATGACTGTCAAAGAGACTTTATTGGATGCCTAAAAGACACATTCATGCAGTGCATTCAAACATTCACTCCATCCAGCATGGCAACTATAATTCAGTCTTGTTCACAATGTTGATCTGCTCCTTAAGACATTTAAGACTGAAGCACAGACACATCTGCTATGTCCAATAAGTACAGATGTTCAGAAAGGAGCCACATAATTATGCTAGCTGTAGATTTTTCAAAAAGTTAAAATATAGGCCTACTGTTTAAAGTAGTTTACAAGACTACAGCTTGGCTCATTGTGAAGGCGCAACTGACTGATAACTGAACTAAACTAAACCAGACAAGGTTTGTGCTCAGGATAGATAGCCCAAAACTGGCTTCTAGATGAAAGCACCACACCCACCAGCGCTTTAACACAGAAATAGGTCACTACTGACTCATATGAGGCGCTTAGAGTAGTGCTAGACATCTGGACACTTTGGAATGAATGAGAACAACAGAAAACAGACTGAACTTCAAACGTCCTGAAAAGTTTTTTAAATTGCAGTGCTTTCTGCACTGAAAAAAATGTTTCATTCATCCAAAAAAATGTAGGGTTATATTCACATCTATATTTTTTAAATTGAGCCAATGAAAAATAAATAACTTGCCCTAAACCATATTTTCTGTCTATGAAAACTATTTTATAAAACCTGGCACAAAGTATATTTTTCTTGTTGAAGAAAGTTTTACAATTTAAATTCTATTTTTGATCCAAACAAAAAAATATAGATTTAATCAAAACAAAAATTCTCATTTAAGAAATTTATTTTTATAGTTTTCATAGACATAGAAAATATTGTTTAGGGCAAGTTATTTATTTTTCATTGGCTCAAGTTAAAAAATATAGATGTGAATCATTACCCTAAATTGTTTTAATTGGATGAATTAAAATTTTTTCAGTGTAATTTCCAAGTTAGATCTATATCAGTTGTTTTATTTTTCCAATTTGTTAAACTAGAAAATTAAGAAAAAGCAAACAAATAACGGAACATTCAATTTTCTGTTTGATTTTAATTCAATTCCAAATGTTCATTTAAATACACAACAAAACATTAATTTTTTATCTGAAAACATTTCCCCATAAAACATGAAAAAACTAGTTTAACAAACTAACATACAACTGTTTATCTCAGAATCACAACAAACGGCATCAAAACTATATGGTTTTATTCCACTCCGAGTTCACAATATTGGCAGTACTGAATTTTAGGTGCTAACTCACCTTTTCCGAGGTTGAGCATTACCTGCTGGTTTACTGTAAAAAGAGCTGGCCTTTTGGGTGATGTCAGGCTTGTCGTTGACAACTTCTCTGTGAAGAGCAAACATTAAAGTTACAGTCTTTATAAGGGCATCTGACTTAAGGGTTTACATTTAATTGTTCAGTGTGCCAGTCAATAAATTGATCCTCCTCAGAACAGGTCTCAGTTAACCCACATGACATACTGCTGATCTGGAGTTTTGCTGTGAGGTGGCATAAGTGTACATTTTAGTGCATAAAGTAATTTAAATGTATGTACATGCCTGATGTGAACAACGACATTGTTTCGTTCTTGTATAACTTCCATGTTTGAACATAGAGACAGGGTTTCACAGCATACACTTAGTCCAGGTGCAGAGCATAAATCAGTCTGAAAAAATGGATATAGAAGGCCTGAGATCGGTCAGTTCATCCATTACAAAGTTCTCTTCCAAGATGAATCCCACTCTAGATGGGTTAGATGTGGACTTGCTTGATCAACACTGAGGATTCTTACTGGAGTCTGTCTTGTCAGCTGCATCCTAACAGAGGGAGAAACAGATCGATAAAGACATTATCAAGTCAGTTAGATAATGCTGTTGTCAAATACTCAAGATCATATGCTGCGTTCACACCATGTTCTACTTAGAGCTGTTCATGTCCTTGGACCGGGAACTGTGCGTTTCTATGGCAACACTATCAATGCCTAAATTAATCTGCAGCAGTCAGATACAGTGGTCACGTGGTACAAGTAGAAGCTCTCAGAAAATTCCCAGATTACAGATGGTAATTATGAGTTCTACAAGGACATGAATTCTTTTTCCAAGTTGGAATCTTGTAATTATGGCAAATACAACATGGGATGAATACACTTATATGTACCTGGTTTACTGTAAAAAGAGTTGGTCTTTGAAATACCATCTGGGTGATGTAAGGCTTGTCGTTGTCCACTTTTCTGTGAAGAGCAAACATTAAAGTTACAGTCTTTAAAAGGGCATCTGACTTAAGGGTTTACATTTAATTGTGCAGTGTGCCAGTCAATAAAGTGATCCTCCTCAAAACAGGTCTCCGTTAACCCACATGACATACAGCTGATCTGGAGTTTTGCTGTGAGGTGGCATAAACATTTTAGTGCATAAAGTAATTTAAATGTATGTACATGCCTGATGTGAACAACGACATTGTTTTGTTCTTGTATAACGTCCATGTTTGGACAGGGTTTCACAGACAGGGCTTAGCTTAAGCCAGGACTAGGCCTTGGTTAAATTTGGATATTTAAATAACTTTTATAAAAATGCCTGGAGAACTTTACTGGTGTGCATCTTGAGACATGACAACGGCACTGGCATATTTTAAGATGTGTCACTACAAGATATTTTCAGTCAAGACAGCTTGAACATGCATTTTAGTCTGAGACTGGCCTGTGAATCCGGGGTATAATGTTTATATAACGTTAGCTGTGCTCTCTTATCACAGTTATGAGGGCCATACTTACACTTCCAAAGCATCTCTTCCATTTCTTCTTCCTTCCAAAACAAGATAGTCATTAAGAGGGCTCTGAACCTAGAAAGAACAGAAGTATATTCATCCGTTTTTGTATATCTACACTGTAAAAAACTTCCTGTAGAAATTACAGTAACTAACTGGAAGCAGTTCGTTACTGTAAAAAAAAGAGAGAGATGTAAATCAACTGTAGAGAATTGTAAATTAACAGTTAATTACTGGCAGCAACCACAGCTGCCAGTATTCTACTGTTATTTTCAGGACGTCATGCCAATAAAGCAATATGAATTTAACTGAGTTGAAATTAACAATTGATTACTAAGCAATTAGATTAGATTATTATCTTTCTTTCTTTTTTCAGATCGAATGCCATCAATGCAGGAGGTGGTTACAGTAACACAACCAACTGTGAAGTGTTCATGTAGTTCTCAGATATAATGCACACCTTTTAGATTTGTGCTATTTATTAAAATAAACTGTCAAATCACATGTAAATATTGCTATTTTTTTCTTTACGAATATGGGCTCAAGCACAAAATATGCCTACCTTCCTGTAGAAATTACAGTAACTGGCAGCAGTTCGCTCGTAACTTACTGTAATTTTATTTTGTAGCAAAAATTCTGTATTTTATTTTAGCGTGTCATTTAACTTGCTGTAAATGTATTTACAGTGTAATATTGTTTAACATGTGGGAAGATTTGCATAATGTGCCCAAATGTTCACACAAAGAAAGAAGGCGTAACTTTCATTCTTGCTGTTGCCACCGCTGCCATGTTGTGGAGTCGCTGTGTATTTCGTTGTGAAAGCGAAACTACTTTGTTTGACCTTCCAAAAGAGGACACAACTAGAAATCAGTGG